ACAATATTGCCATCCTATTAGCTGCTGCAAGGATTTGGTGAGCATGTGCGCTCTCCACAAAGACTGGCATGAACACGTTCACAGCAGTTTTATTCAAAATAGCCAAAGTTGGCCAGGTGTGGTGGCGCACGCCTGTAATCCCAGCTACTCGGGAGGCTGAGGCAGGAGAATCGCTTGAACCCGGGGGGCGGAGGTTGCAGTGAGCCAAGATCGGCCACTGCATTCCAGCCTGAGTGACAGAGTGAGATTCCACGTGGCGGAAGACCACTCGACAATAAAAAGGAACAAAATATGGACACATACAACACCATGGATACATCTCAAAAACATGATCTAGGCCAGGCACAGTGGCTCACACCTGTAATCCCAGCACGCTGGGAGGCCGAGGCGGGCAGATCATGAGGTCAAGACATCAAGACCATCCTGACCAACATGGTGAAACCCTGTCTCTACTAAAAAATATAAGAATTAGCCAGGCATGATGGCGTGCGCCTGTAATCCCAACTACTTGGGAGGCTGAGGCAGGAGAATCACTTGAACCCAGAGGCAGAGGCTGAGGTGAGCCGAGATCGCACCACTGCCAGCCTGGGTGACAGAATAAAACTCCATCTCAAAAAAAAAAAAAAAGGACCATGTATTAATTTTGTATGTAAAGGACTAAGTATTCATTTTGTAAATGAAATAAAAAGACAAATGTGAATACATGCGAAAGCACCCTGAAAGTCATCTGTAAGTGGCCTTGTTCACTGTTGCTGGTGGAGTGTGTCCTCTGCCGCTCCCTGGGAAACCAGACAACCCAGCTGGACAAAAACGAGAGTGAGCACCTGAGGCTTTCCGATCCCATCTGCAGAACCTCTCTTGGGATCTCCATTTTTTCCTCCTGACTTGTGTCCATTTGCCGTTTGCAAGAATTTTCAGAAAGACTAGTCCTGGCGCAGTGGCTCATGCCTGTAATCCCAGCACTTTGGGAGGCCGAGGCAGGCGGATCCCTTGAGGTCAGGAGTTCAAGACCAGCCTGGCCAACCTGGTGAAACCCCGTCTCTACTAAAAATACAAAAATTAGCCAGGTGTGGTGGCAGGCGCCTGTGACCCCAGCTACTTGGGAGGCTGAGCCAGGAGAATGGCTTGAACCCAGGAGGCAGAGGTTGAAGTGTGCCAAGATCGTATCACTGCACTGCAGCATGGGAGACAGAGCTAGACTCGGTCCAAAAACAGACTGAGGCACTTCGGCGTGTGTCTGGGCTAGGACTAGTAGCCAGTACCTTACGTGTGCAGGGATGGGGGTACCAGGCCAGTGTGCAGCCGGGACTAGATGAGGCAGGGACACTGACTTCACCTTCCATTCAACCTCCAGCAGACCACCCGGTTCAATGTGGATCCTGCCGGGGGGTGGTTGCTAGCTCACACGCCTGGCTAACCAGAAAATTCATAGGTTGAGGACCCTTTTACCCAATTCCTACTAAACTCTAGTTTATTTCCCTGTTGTCTGAATTCGTCTCTTTCTTCTCTATCAGTCCCTGAAGAACTCTGGGTTGGCTCTTCCTTTCCAGAGGGAAAATGCCCTTCTTGGTGGGTATAATCAAAGCCTTTCCGGCTTGGCTTAGGGACCACAGTTTCCTCCTGACAGACTCGGGACTCTATCTCATTGATGTGTTAATGACCCTTCCCACCCTCACATTAAGTCCTTTTAGCCTGAAAGGTAAACACAAAGCTCATCTTCGCTGTTGACACAGTCTCCCCAAGCTTCTCCCCGCCCTGCCGGGAGCTGAGCTCCAAACCTCCTGCTGAGCAACTGCAGGCCTGCAATTTGCCAGCTTCCCACCAGGCCTGCTTCCTGGGGCTTTTCCACCCTTTCCAAAAGGAAAGTCCTTCTGGCTGTCTAGCCTACATCACTCCTGTTCTAAGCACAGCTCTCATGCAAGCAGCTCCCTCTACTCTTATGGGGAAAAGCCCCTCCAAGTCCCAAAGCAGCTTCAGAAACTGCTTTAGCCATCTTCCTTCTACTCAAGGCTCCAAGCTCTTTGCTTCTGGCCATTTCCTCCACCCCTGGTCCCAGCCCCTCACTCGCTGGGTATCACAAGGCAGAATGGGGCTATGTGGGTCACAAATGATGGATCACAGCTGATAACTAAAGGATCAAAGTGTGCCGATAATGTCCGCTTTTGAATACACTGGATCAGTTTCAAGGTTCTGGTCAGCTGGGCTGAGAGCATGGGTGCTATGAACACCTCCCATCTCACCTTATATGACAGGGGATACCGGGGAAAGGTGTTCCGAGACCATCCCCGGCCAAGGCCAGCAGGGACCTTCATGGGGCCCCACGTCAGTGACGAGAAGTACACTCTGCATGACTCTGGGAAGGCAACGCTCTTGCCTTTCTTGGAGAACCTGGATGGAAACTGTCTCAAGCCCAAACCGGCCCACCCTGCAAGGCAGCAGGAGGCAGGGGATTTTATTAATGATTAATGAGGTAACGCAACTGAACCACCAAATGGGGAAATTAGGCCAGGTGCGGTGGCTCAAGCCTGTAATCCCAGCACTCTGGGAAGCCGAGGTGGGTGGATTGCTTGAGGTCAGGAGTTGGAGACCAGCCAGGTTAATATGGCGAAACCCCATCTGTACTAAACATACAAAAAAGTAGCTAGGCATGGTGGTGCACACCTGTAATCCTAGCTACTCAGGAGGCTGAGGCAGGAGAATCACTTGAACCCGGGAGGCGGAGGTTGCAGTGAGCAAAGATCACGCCACTGCACTCCAGCCTGAGCAACAGAGCAAGACTCCACTTCAAAAAAAGAAGGGGGAGGGATTAACTGAGTCATTTTCTCTACTACCACAGACCTGTCCCAAAAGAATGCTGCCTCCCAGAGAGGGATTCCTCGACCACCCACCTGCGGGGCACCCCCTCAGTGATTCTGCCCCTAGCTGCCGGCTTGTTTCCTTCATGATAATTATTCCAGGTTGAGGTTTTGGGAGTTTTTGTTGTCGCTGATTTATCTGTGTGCTTGTTTTTTGGTCTGTTTGCCCTTCCGGCCCCCGGGGCCCCAGTGGAATGCAAACTCCATGGAGACAGACACGATGCCGCCCTAGTCATCACCGTCACCTCCCCAGCCCACACTCAGGATGGTGTCTGCTCTACGATAGCCCTCGATAAATACCATGGAAAGAAAGGAAGGGGGAAGAAGGTAGAGAGGAAGAGAGAGAAAAGAAGGAGGATTATATGTTCTGGAGCCTGAGCTTCCTCTGCCCCAGAAAACCTTTCCCAGGCTTTTGACTTGACCGAATTGGTTTGGCTGGAGGGGAGTGGAGGGCGGAGCAGCGAGGTCGCAGTGATGGAGACCCACCCTCTGCCCTGGCACTGGAGACATGAACTCAGATGGGTGTCTAACAGATACTCACATCCACAGCCTCACCCATCAGCCCGCCAAGGAAAGACACCAAAGCAGCAGCTCGACTCGAAGGTCTCTCTTAGAGCACGCATGGCTTTTCAACGACTCTAGGGAGGGGAGAACCTAAAAATACTGTATTTCATGCCAACCCTAGGGAGTAGGACAAAGTCGTATTTTCATTTATTTACACTGATACAGGGTCTCACTCTGTCACCCAGGCTGGAGTGTAGTGGCGCGATTACAGCTCACTGCAGCCTCGACCTCCTGGGCTCGAGCCATCCTCCTGCTTTAAGCCTCCAGAAGAGCAGGGACCACAGGCACAAGCCGCCACACCCAGCTAATTTTTTTTCTTTTTTTTTAAAGCGAGAAGGTCTCACTTCATGGTCCAGCTTAGTCTTGAACTCCTAGCCTCAAGTGATCCTTCTCAGTCTCCCAAAACAATAGGATTATAGGTGTGAGCCAATGCGTTTAGCCCATATTTTTATTTTATTTTATTTTATTTATTTATAGACAGAGTTTCACTCTTGTTGCCCAAGCTGGAGTGCAGTGGCGCGATCTCGGCTCACTGCAACCTCTGCCTTCCAGAGTCAAGCGATTCTCCTGCCTCAGCCTCCCGAGTAGCTGGAATTACAGGCATCTGCCACCACGCCCAGCTAATTTTTGTATTTTTAGTAGAGACAGGGTTTCACCATGTTAGCTAGGCTGGTCTCGAACTCCTGACCTCAGGTGATATGCCTGGCTCAGCCTCCCAAAGTGCTGGGATTACAGGCATGAGCCACCGCGCCCGGCTAGCCTATATTTTTAAAAGACTTTTTAGAAAAATAAAGGAATGTGTAACTTGTTTCACATCCAAGGATGGGAGGTCAAATCTCCACCTATTACCCAAGCCTGGGCCCTGACCAGCACACCTCAAACCTGTCATGGCTGTCAAAAAACAAGCAAAGTCTGAGAAATGGTCACAGCCAAGGAGAGTCTAAGGAGATATGACAGCTAAATATAATGCGGTTCCTGGAACAGAAAAAGGACATTAGGGAAAAAACTCTAAAATCTGAATAAACTGTGGGTGTTAATTATTAATGACAGTATATCAGTCTAGGTTCATTAATTATAGCAAATGGGCCATACTAATGTTAATTACAGCAAATGGACCATACTAATGTAAATTGTAGGGAACTGGATTATAGAGCCATATGAGAACTCTCTGTACTCTTGATTTTTCTGCCATTTTATTTATTTATCTATTTTGTTAAGATGGAATCTCACTCTGTTACCCAGGCTGGAGTGCAGTGTCGCAATCTCGGCTCACTGGTTCACTCAACCCCACTTCCTGAGTTCAAGAGATTCTCCTGCCTCAGCCTCCCGAGTAGCTGGATTTACAGGTGTGCACCACCATGCCTGGCTAATTTTTGTATTTTTAGTAGAGACAGGGTTTCACCACATTGGTCAGGCTGATCTCAAACTCCTATCATCAAGTGATCTGCCTGCCTAGGCCTCCCAAATTGCTGGGATGACAGGCGTGAGCCACCGAGCCTGGCCTTTTCTATAATTTTTAAACCTTAAAAAGATAAAGTCTACCAGAAAAAAGGTAAATATAATGAACGTTGAATAATGTTATTACATTCTGGCTAAACACTGTTGCCAGCCCAAGGCCTGAGGCTGAAACCCAGTCTCTCTCTCTCTTTTTTTTTTTTGAGAGATGGAGTCTCGCTCTGTAGCCAGGCTGGAGTGCAATGGCACAATCTCAGCTCACTGTACCCTCCACCTCCCGGGTTCAAATGATTCTCCTGCCTCAGCCTCCCGAGTAGCTACAACCACAGGCACCTGCCAACACACCCGACTAATTTTTGTATTTTTTCAGTAGAAACGGGGTTTCCCCATGTTGGCCAGGATGGTCTCAATCTCCTGATCTAGTGATCTGCCCGCCATGGCCTCCCAGAGTGCTGGGATTACAGACATGAGCCACTACGCCTGGCCCACTCTCTCTATTAATAAGGAAGGTTAGCACATGTTAGAAAGGTGTTAAACACACAGTAGCCTCTAACTGAGACACTCTCCTTGAGGTGGCGAGATGCATGGAAAGAGAACTGAGAGGGGAATAAACAGCTTTCCCCAGCGTCGGGTGATTCTGTGTCCTGTCCTCTTACCACCTAATATCATCTCCCCCACTTATAATGTGGGAGTCACTGTACCAATTCACCATGCCCACCTTCCTCCCTTCCTCATCTGGAGCTCGGAGAATGAGCAAAGGGCTCCCACAGCCCATTTGTGGGCCAGTGTTCTGCCCATGCTACGTCCACCTGTGAAAGAATCACCCCACACATCCTGAGGGGCCAGCAACCCAGGACAGGCCGCCATCCCAACTGTCGAAAGAGCAAGTGTGAGGGCAGGCCCCGCTCACCCTGAAGCAGAAGAGTCACCTTGCGGGCAGCACACCCCGCCCCGCCCGGTTCAGCACATTGCCAGGTGCACGCACCTCCACACCCACTACTCCACTGGATCCTCTCAGCCCCATCAAGAAGGAACATGAGGCTGGGTGCGGTGGCTCACGCCTGTAATCCCAGCACTTTGGGAGGCCGAGGCGGGTGGATGACCTGAGGTCAGAAGTTCGAGACCAGCCTGGCCAACGTGGTGAAATCCCATCTCTACTAAAAATACAAGTATTAGTCAGGCGTGGTGGCATGCACCTGTAATCCCAGCTACTTGGGAGGCAGAGACAGGAGAATTGCTTGAACCAGGGAGGCAGAGGTTGCAGTGAGCCAAGATCGCACCACTGCACTCCAGCCTGGGTGACAGAGTGAGACTCCATCTCAAAAAAAAAAAAAAGAAGGAACACGAACATCATCCTCCTTTCCAGATGAGTAAACCGAGACCTGGAAAGGCTAATTCTTCTGTCAAGGATCACACAGCTACTAAGAAGCAAAGCTGAGACCCAGATGCAAACGGTCCTGTGGACACTGACTACCACAAAATCCAAAATGAAGAGGAATGGAGCCCTGGGAAGTGAGGGGCTGGCTCGGCCAGAGACTCACGATGCCTGTCACCAGATGAAGCGGAATCTGCCTTCCTGCCTGCCACGTGCCCAGGCTTCTTCCTCTGACTGACAGTACCTTGATGTTCCCCTGGACAGCACTCTGACATCACTGTTGGGTTTTGTGGTTTAGATGGGACTGTCCCTTTCTCAGCCTACTCAGCCTGAGCTCTGGGGTGGGTACATGATGCAGGCTGGGCCAATGCAACTTCAGGCTTTTTTTTTTTTTTTTAGACAGTCTTGCTCTGTCACCCAGGCTGGAGTGCAGTAGAGCGATCTCGGCTCACTACAAACTCTGCCTCCTGGGAGTCATTCTGCTGCCTCAGCCTCCTGAGTAGCTGGGATTACAGGCATGTGCCACCATGCCAGCTATTTTTTGTATTTTTTAGTAGAGACGGGGTTTCACCATGTTGGTCAGGCTGGTCTCAAACTCCTGACCTTGTGATCTGCCCACCTCGGCCTCCCAAAGTGCTGGGATTACAGGTGTGAGCCACCACGCCTGGCCGCTTTTGTTTTTGTTTTTCAGAGACAGGGTCTTGCTCTGTTGCCCAGGCTGGAGTGCAATGGTGCAATCATAGCTTACTGCAGCCTCCACCTCCTGGGCCTCCCAGGTGGCTAGGACTGCAGGTGTGCACCACCATCCTCAGTTAATGTTTTAATATTTTGTAGTGACAGGGTTTCACTTTGTTGCCCACACTAATCTTGAACTCCTGGCCTCAAGCAACCCTCCTGTCTTGGCCTCCCAAAGTGCTGGGATTACAGGTGTGAGCCACCACTACTGGCCTCAAGTCATATATTCTATTCACCAGGCCACCATGATTGCTTTGGGGATGGGCACATATACCTAGTTGGTCCAAACAGAATGAACACCAAACTTTTACAGGTACTATAGGACGAAGCAGCTTAATCATACCCACTGAGGTTTCCAAAGAGGCAGACTAGAGCTGCCGGTGGCTGCCTTATAACATGTGAGGAGAGGTGCCTGTGAACGAAATGAATGCAGAAAGTAGAGCCAAGAGACAGGGACAAATAGATGGTCTGATGATGCTGTTCCACCTGCCTGCGTCTAGCTGGCCCTAAAGCCAGTATTCTGTTTTTTTTTTTTTGAGATGGAATCTCACTCTGTGGCCCAGGCTGGAGTGCAATGGCGCAATCTCGGTTCACTGCAACCTCTGCCTCTTGGGTTCGATTTTCCTACCTCATCCTCCCAAGTAGCTGGGATTACAGACAACTGCTACCATACCCAGCTAATTTTTATTTGTATTTTTAGTACAGACAGGGTTTCACCATGTTGGCCAGGCTGGTCTTGAACTCCTGACCTCAGGTGATCCACCCACCTCGGCCTTCCAAAGTGCTGGGATTATAGGCGTGACATACCACCCCCATCCCTTTTTTTTTTGGAGACTGAGTCTTGCTCTGTCGCCCAGGCTGGAATGCAGTGGTATAATCTTGGCTTACTGCAACCTCCACCTCCCAGGTTCAAGTAATTCTCATACCTCAGCCTCTCCAGTAGCTGGGACTGCAGATGCCCACCACCATGCCCAGCTAATTTTTATATTTTTAGTAGAGATGGGATTTCACCATGTTGGCCAGGCTGGTCTCAAACTCCTGACTCAGGTGATCTGCCCGCCTCAGCCTCCTGAAGTGCTGGGATTATAGGTGTGAGCCATTCCACCTGGCCAAAGCCACTGTTCTTAAACTTACCAATTACAAAAGTTTTCATGGACTTTGCTTTTCCTTTTTATTTTTTCTTAAGCCCGTCTGAGTGAGGTTTCTGTCACTAGTAACCTAGTTAGTGAACATAGTAGACCTCTACCCAATGGGCAAGGAAACACAGGAGGGAACGAAATAACAGCTTCAGGAAAGGGAGACGGCCACACCACTCATTCTCCCGAAGACAGCACCCCCCGGAAAGGCCATGGGGACACCTTCCCAGAAGCAGCCCCTGGAGCTACTTCCTGACACCACACACACCCAGATGCACCAACCACCCCGCCAGTGGCAGGCTGGGGTGGTCTGCACACAGTCCTCTCGACAGCACCCAAGGGGAAGGTGGGGTTGGCACAAATCTGCCCCCGAAGATAAAACAGGAATGCAACAGGAATGCCTCCCTTCCTCTTCCCTGTCAGCACACAAGCTACTCATTTCATTTCTCTTCCCTAAAATCAAAGACTATTCCAGGGAAATGTTGAAAAAAAAGGAAGCATTCAGACAAATCCCAAATGTAGGTCATTCTACAAAACAACTTTGCCAAGTCTGCTGTTCTATATTTATTTAGAGACAGGGTCACACTCTGTCACCTGGGCTGGAGTGCAGTGGTGTGATCATAGTTCACTGCAGCCTCAAACTCCTGGGCTCAAATGATCTCCCACCTCAGCCTCCTGAATAGCTGGGACTACAGTTCACCACAGCCAGCTCTGTTCTGCATTTAAAGAGAAAAGGGATGTGACAATCACACAATGAGTGACCATTAACAATAGGTTCGAGGTGGCTCACACCTGGAATCCCAGCACTGTGGGAGGCCAGGTGGACGGGTCACCTGAGGTCAGTAGTTTGAGACCAGCCTGGCCAACATGGTGAAACCCTGTCTCTACTAAAAATACAAATAGCTGGGCGCGGTGGCTCAAGCCTATAATCCCAGCACTTTGGGAGGCCGAGGCGGTGGATCATGAGGTCAAGAGATCAAGACCATCCTGGTCAACATGGTGAAACCCCGTCTCTAGTAAAAATACAAAAAATTAGCTGGGCATGGTGGTGCGTGCCTGTAATCCCAGCTACTCAGGAGGCTGAGGCAGGAGAATTGCCTGAACCCAGGAGGCAGAGGTTGCGGTGAGCCGAGATCGCGCCATTGCACTCCAGCCTGTGTAACAAGAGCGAAACTCCGTCTCAAAAAAATAAAATAAAATATATACAAATAAAAATTAGCTGGGTATGGTAGCAGTTGCCTGAAATCCCAGCTACTTGGGAGGATGAGGTAGGAAAATCGAACCCAAGAGGCGGAGGTTGCAGTGAGCCGAGATTGCACCATTGCACTCCAGCCCGGGCCACAGGTTTCACATTGTGAAACCCCGTCTTCACTAAAAATACAAAAATTAGCCAGGTGTGGTGGCAGGCACCTGTAATTCCAGCTACTTGGGAGGCTGAGACAGGAGGATCGCTGGAACCTGGGAGGGGGAAGTTGCAGTGAGCCAAGATTGTGCCATTGCACTGAGCCTGGGCCACAGAGCGAAACTCGGTCTCAAAAAGAAAAAATAATAATAAATTAACAGTGTAACCTAAGATATAGTCCATAGGCAAATTAGGGGACAACTGTAGACACTTAGATATGGACTGTGGACTGTATAACAGATTATATTATTAAATTAACATAAACGTTCTTATGTGGAATAATAATATTGTGCTTCTGTCAGAGAATGACATTATTTGGGGTCAACACCAGCTGAAGGATTTTGGTGTGACGAGGCATGATGTCCGCAGCTTACCTTCTCGACCTTACTCTCATTACAGAAGAAGAGAGAGAGAGACAGAGAGAGAGAGAGAGAGAGAGAGAGAGAGAGAGAGAGAGAGAGGGGGGGGGGGGAAATACCTGGGCAAAACATGAAAAGCAGTAACTCCAGATCAATACAGGTGTTCATTGAACTAGTCTAATTTTTGTGCAGGTTGGTTATTTTCTTTTTCTCTTTTTTTGAGACAGCGTTTCGCTCTTGTTGCTCAGGCTGGAGTGCAGTGGTGCCGCCACACCCAGCTACTTTTTGTGTTTTTTGTA